AATTTTATATAGACAAAACCGGGGTGTGCGATAGACTTACCTCCACGTGATGCACCCTGCTCCACGTATACTCATACGTCAAAGAAGTTTAGAAACAGGCAGTTGACTTCTCACTTCAAACTACCATCACCCCATTGACGGGCAACGTATACTCATACGGCAAACAAGTCTATAAACCAATGGGCAACGTATACTCAAACGGCATACCTCCACGTGGTGCACCCTGGGCAACGTGTACTTACAACCTCCATGTGGTGCACCCTGGGCAACGTATACTTATGCGGAAAAAAGTCTATTGACTGGTAGTTGACTTCTCACTTCAAACTACCATCACCCCACTGTATAGTTGACCACTGACTTCAAACTACCATGACCCCACTGTATGCCTTGACTTCTGACTTCAAACTACCATGACCCCACTGTATGTAATATTCCACCCCTTCCACAATACTCATCTCACCTTTTTCTCTACCTTTGTCTGTCTCTTTTACGTCTGTGATTCATTATTCTGTCCCCAATCCCGACTTTTTGTCACTGATGTTCCTCCTTCTCTCTGAGAAGCCCGAAGTCAGCTAAAGGGCCAATGATAACTATCAAAACGCCTGAAATTTGAAATAAATATAGACAAAACCTTCGCCGATTCAGAAGATTCTTATTATGTAAAGTAGTCTATTACCAAGTAACAAGGGTAAAGGACTAACTGAGTAATTGTCTGATCACTTGCCAAGTCTGAATCAACCGCAGTATAGCAAAAACCTGTGGAACCTAGAGCAGAGGAGCAAAAATAGGTTTCTAAGATTTAAAATGATGAAGAATAAGAACTTCGAATTTATAACGTTGAGTGATGCAAAGCCTTACCAAGGCCTGCATGACATCAAATACCGTGATTAACGATTGGCAAAAAAACCAGAGCTATCATTACGTAAATCAAGCCCCACAAAATCCGTGGAAAGATTCCCCACGTCTTGCAGATTGTTTTCCAGTTGACTATCTTTGAGCGGAATGAGCCAAATGGGCATTAATAGCAAATTCTACGTGTATACGTTAAAGTGGCTATGGATGTGATTTGAGATATTTCTTCAATACAAGTATGACTGCAGAACATAGTTACTTCTGTAGTTGATCATGAGTCGATGGAAGTCCGTTTCTGAACCTTATTTTGTAAATATCCGGGGTGTGCGATAGACCTACCTCCGCGTGGTGCACCCTGGGCAACGTATATTCATACGGCAAAAATGTGGTGCACCTTGGGCAACGTATACTCATACGGCAAAAAACTGGTGCACCCTGGGCAACGTATATTCATACGGCAAAAAAGGTCTATTATTCGGCAGTTGACGTCTGACTTCAAACTACCATGACCTGACTCCATGTCATATTCGATCATTTCCACAGTACTTACCTCACCTTTTTCTACCTTTGTGTCTATCTCTTTTACATCTTTGAAATGCTCTTCTGTTCCTCCCCCCCCTCTCTCGACTTTTTTTCACTTTGATGTTCCACCCCCTCTGTGAAGCCTACATCAACCAAAAGGCTAATGATAACTATCAAAACGCTTGCCATTTGATATAATAATAATAATTTAGTAAATATCCCAAAAGTACTCTCATTCAAGCCAGTTATTCTTTATGAAAAGGAAGTTAAACGTACTCTCTCGTCAAAAATCGAATCAGGAAGAGGAATGGACGAACTGGGTTCCCAGAAGATAGAAATGCCCTTTGCGTTTGTTCGACGATTTCCACTATCGCTACCTTGTTGAAGGAGTGAGAATTCGAAATCTGTGTTGTGTAAAACAAAGGGAAGCAAAGGTTGGCCCTGAAGAGTTCGGTGGCAGAGCCGTTTGAATAGAGCATTCGAGGACTCTTTGACTTTATGCGACGATTCTGAGGCTCCTGAAGTCTTGAAATATTAATAAAATATAAGGTTGGTTTAATCGAAATGGAATATTAGGATAAGATTAGGATTACACTTAGCAGAAAATTCGCAGATTAGTACGACGTCATAGCTTAACTATTTCCTATAAGGTTTAAATGAATCCACCAGCTACAGCAATAAATGGCATTGTTTGATCGACACCAAGATAGGCTAAACGTTAAAAGTAGATCTACAAAGCGATTTACTCTAAACTGAGGTATTTCTATCAAGTTAATTAGCTTATTATTATTGACAAGTACGCACACTCTTGAGAGATAGAAGTACACTTAGTCAGTCTTGATAAGAAAATTTCCTAGGGTCTAAACAGTCGTTTTGAGATGAACCGATGCAAAGAATGTAATCAAATACACATTGATCTACTAGCACCACTGCTTAGAGGTAATAGCAAAGCTGATGAGATAGTAAGATGTAACTAATATTTTTCCAGTTTTCGATGTCATCCCAAACTGATACTGAGTTTAATATATTGTCGTAAAAACAGTAAACAGCAAATTAAACTTCTACCTAGCAAAGGAAGATCTAAATTCAAGTCTAAACGGGTTCTTAACATATGTGAGTGCACTAACTTTGACGCCATTTAGAACTACAGATCCAGATAGGAAACAAAACGGAATGCAATCTGGGACTCGTATCAAAGAAGCAATCGTAGATTATAATGGAATGACAAACCAGTCAACGTACAAAAGGAAGCAACGACAAAAACAAAACGTGCAAAGTATCACTAGTTTATTGAGTGTATTCAAAGAGTTATAGAAACACTGATGTAGATTTGGTAAGTGGTGATCACCCAACCCTTAGAAAGAGTTTGCGTTCATACGAATGAGAGGTTAGACATAAACATTACATAACTATGCATTATGGGAAATCAGCTATTGGTCGGGCTGTACATATAACGGCTACATAATGAAAGATGGAGGGAGAATGGAGGGGGGGTGATCGAACGTGTCACATCAACTAAAGGGGTACATGATTGAAGAGGTAAGAAACCGATTCCCCATTGTGGGTTCTTCGGATTGATTCAGCTAGTACTGTGCTAATATCGATGCACTAAAAGGAAAAAAAGCATGCATTAATCACGCATATCCAAACCGTTATAAACATTTGATGCGAAACGTCACTTACATATAACTTAGGACACTTTTTCATGTTCTCCTTTTGATCAATGGTGTTTGTCACAACAACAGCTTCGAAGCACGAATTGTTAATACGATCAATGGCTGGACCAGAGAAAATTCCATGAGTACAGATAGCGTAAATGCGGGTGGCTCCAGCATCCGTTAAACTAAAATAGGAAATCCCAATTACATGTAAGACCAAGAATAAGGCGATAGACATACCGGTCAGCGGCAGTACAAATTGTACCACAAGTGTCGGCCATATCGTCGACTAAAATGGCAACTTTGCCTTTGACATCACCAACAAGAACCATTCGGTCGACTTCGTTGGCACGTTTTCGTTCCTTGTGAATCAGAGCGAACTCAACATTCAGTTGATCGGCAAGAGAGGTTACTCTGTAGATAAGAAGCTAAATTAGAGAAACGAATGATATTCTACCTTTTGGCACCACCGGCATCTGGACTGACAACAACACAGTTTTGCCAATCGGAGATGTTCTTTTGAATCCATTTAATCACAGCGGGTTCGGCGTAAAGGTTATCCACCGGAATATCAAAGAAGCCTTGAATTTGGCTAGCGTGAAGATCCATGGTGACAATGTGATCAGCGCCAGCAACAGAGAGCATGTTGGCAACAAGTTTTGCAGAAATAGGAGCGCGTGACTTGTCCTAATAAAGTCAAACTAAATAATCCTATAACAGTACCTTTTTATCTTGACGAGCATAAGGGAAACAAGGTATAACGGCAGTAACACGGCACGAAGATGCGGTTTTGCAAGCGTTGATCATAATTAGAAGCTCCATCAAATTGTCGTTAACTTCACCGCTCGAAGTTTGCACAATGTAGACATCTTCACCTCGAACTGATTCATCAACTTCAACACTATTAGCAAAGTTATTAAAATTTAAGATTAAAATACCAAGTCTCCTTGTTGCTAAATTTCTTCGAATTAACTAAGCCAAGCTTAATGCCGATGTGATCCGTTATCCTTTTGGCCAAATCACCATTGGAATTGCCAGCGAAGATCTTAATATTCGGCATTATCGACTAAGGGCAGAACGTGTTAACAGCAGCCGAATTACAGTAAAATTGATTGACCCAAGATGCGCTGGGATCAAAATGGTTAATCTAAACAAATTGTGCAAAATTATGGTGCCAACAATAAATTAAAAAGTATGACAAATTTTATATCTATTTTAATCTAAGAAAAAATATAATTAGCAGATTGATGATTTTTACGAGGTGCTCATGTATATTTAGTATTATTTACAGATAGAGATCAAGTCATTAGACTAATTTATTCAATTATTATAAAAATATTTATATCGATGATTAGTCTTTGGTGCTGCTGTTTGTGATTTGCTATTCAAATATTTATAACCAATTTTATCTTAATTTTGCCTATTTTTTTTGTAAACGATATAATGTAGTATTTGTGTTTAGAGTAAAAAATCGGCATTCCCCTATTCAAATACCCATTTTTATGTATATGCTGAGTTGGCCTTGCGGAATTTCTTTTATGTGGCAAAAACTTTAGTTTTCCATTTAAGTAACTTAGCTAAAATATCTGGTGCCATATTTGGATCCTTATCGTCATTACAATGTTAATACAATAATAAAATTGATTCCATTTTTTTCAGCAAATTCACGAAATTTCATCCTGGTTTGAGTGCTTAGCGAAAATGGGGATCATGAGTTAGCATATTGAGATAAGAAGTCGTTTAACAGAGACTACATCGTAATAAACAGTCAATTTTGAACTTAGTAAGTTAAAGGATAGAAACCTGAACAGAAGCTATCGATTTAGAGCTTCTTCCAGGCGGTCACTTTATAGCAGATACGATTGACAGCAGACTAAGGTTATAAGCTGACAAATAATGCGAACTGGGGTAGAATTAATGTCAATTATTCAATTAAACCGTGGTACCTATCACCCCCATGTATGTATTCAAGTGCGTAAATACGACTAGAAGCGCATGTGGGTCAGATTCTAATATTGTAATATTTTGAACTTTACTCTCTATGAACCTTCGATATTATCGAAATAAGGTTAGTTAATGGAGGTTTTCATTGTGAGCTATAAACCCTCATGCTGAGTGGAGGCAACTTATATCTACCATAGAAAAGTCAAAGTCATCATGAATTTTCGTAAAGCCACATATAATTCGCTGACATTCGGTCGATAGCTTGGAGTGGCTTCTTGCCACATACGCGCTGCCTATCTTCGCAAGTAATATGACGGATGTTGATAGCATGTACATATAGGGTCTCTTGTAATATTTTCCTCGAAAATCTTTCCTAACTACATGACATCAAACAAAAATGACAGGATGTGGAAACAATAGGCATGGATAATTTATTTTCCGTCAGTGATAGAGGAGAGCAATAAATGACATGAAAGAAGAGGAAAAGGAGAGGGATCATGCATAAGAAATCACGAGACACAATGGCTCATAAATGTGTAATCTAAGTCAGCAGGTAAAAAAGAATCAGTGGAGATCAAAAAATGAAGAGGAAGTAGAGGGGTTGTCAGGAATCTCTTATGCGACTGAGCAATTGACAGCAATATTTCCCGAGTTCCCGAGAGGCAAGGAGTCCCCAATGAGGACAGAAAGAGCACGAACCATGTAGGCCATAGTGCCAAAACGGCCAGCGGGAGGGGTGTCGTAGAAGTAATGACAAATACGATGGGCTCCACGACATTTCTGCTGAGGTGGCACCACCCCTACTGCTGAACCAGGACCCGAGAGGCTTTCGTCACTAGCAACACTAATTTTCCGATTGATTCCAGAAGGATTAGACTCCGTGGGAGTTGTAGAAAGAATATCATCGCTACTGCCGATTCGAGATCTAACCCCACGTACTAGAGGATTTGCGCAACATAAGGTCGCATTTGCACCGTGAGCGGCCTGAAATTGAGTAAACAATTTTTTATTTTTTCTATGAGCCTGAAGACTGTACTAACTTTTCATAAGGGATTACAAAACCTTTGAGTGAGGGCAATAGCCTTACCTGATCCTCCAAGAAAATACGATTAGCCTTAGCAACGAGATCATCAAGAGAGACAATGCAGTTTAGCTGAATGCGAGCATCTTCATCGTGAGTTACAAGAGCTCCGAGAACGGTAGTAGCTTCAACGAGCAGCTGACGATATTCCGGTGTTGGAACAGTGTTGATAAAGGACTCGACCGCAAGTGCGAATTTCAACTCCTCTTTGGTCATCTAAAAGGTAGTGCAAAATAGGTCAATAAAAAAATTGGAGGGGGAGCTGATTGATACGATTTGTAAATCTGCACAAGACTAAATAATTAACAAGAAAAACACGATGAGATTAGCCTTTGATTAAATTAGATAGGTGCCTTCTAACATTTTCATTTATACGTTCGTTTCTCTGAAAAGAGCCGCTCAACTATTCCGAGATCAGATAGTTGTAGTCTTGCCCATAATACTTCGAATGAGTTTTCAAAGGTTATTTACGAGAGTAGAACAAGCCAATTTGACTAAATATACTGAATAAGTCCCCCCCTCCCAACATTTAAGCTGAAAATTCGGCTTCAGAAGAGAAATCACAAATCCAATTCATAGTTGACTGACGTTATCAAATGCAAGCATATTTAATCGAAAATTCCATTTCTACCCCCAATAAGAGGACATTTTACCAGCTAAACTCGTCAAATGTCAAATTATGAGAAAAAAATAGTTAATAGTGCGATGAACAGCATCCACGCCTGAAAGTCCGAGGTCCTTATGAAAATGGGAGGTTGCATGGCTCAATTAAGTTGAATTATTGTACTGCCACAAAAAACAAGAGACATAAAGTATTTTTTCATAAAACAATCATGAGAAAACAGCACCTCTTTAGTTAGAGTAGTAGTAAGAGTATTTTCCGCAATACGGAGACCCTGCAGTCTCTCGAGGATGCTATAAGTGCACTGGAAGAACTCAGGTGGGACACGATTAAGCGATCCATCAATCTTCCGGCGACGTGACCAAAGATCTCGTACCTCAGAAAGAGACTCAGAGGCCATTGCGGTAACAGATGTGGGGATTATCGATCCCGCTCGTGCTCGTCCAACACTTCGAAGGGTACCAGTTGGGCTTTGGGGAATTGAGATGGCCGGGGAGGCAAGGTGAGATAGATCTCCAGGTGAATCCACCTTCAGGAACTAAAAATGGTGATGGGAAGTTAAGGGTACAAGCGATTAAACAAGGAATCTAGTAAGCTTTAGCTGCAATGTAAAGTTTCTACCTTTAGTTCGAGGCGGAAAGCTAATCGCAATAAACTGTTATTGCATAAACATGACTTGGTTAGATTTCAAACAAATTTAGCAAAAATGCACAACCAGAGAGTCATTGTATTTTACATAACCTTTACCTAACGGAATTATAGCACAAAATAAGGAAGTCGATCCTTTATTAGCAGTATCTACTGGTTAGCAACTTTGCCATTAGCATTCAGTCTACGAAAAGCATAAAGGTTTGCAGGCAACATACGGAGGAATAGTGTTGCGTATTTGAGAAGAGCATAGTTTAAAGCTATTTAATGCTTTTTGCTAACAAATATAACACAAAACTACCTCAGGAGGGATGAAGAATTTGGCTGGAACCTAAATGCAAAAAATGCATGCTTGAAACGATGACGCAAGTTCTAAGCACTCCTCCCCCATTTAAAGACGAGTAAATTTAGACTGGTGATCGATTTATTGTACACATTATGCGTAGCATATGATATCAACGGTGGACTGGCGGAATTCCATGCAATAACCAAAACTTCAAAGGCATAAAATATTTGACAAGATAAATCACAATTATACCAAAACCAAATTGAGAAAGTTCATCAATCCAATCAGATAGGAAAAGAGTAGTAAATAAATGAATTTGCGAGTCTTATTTGTACCAACCGATTACAGGGTTTAAACCCCTACAACCTTGAGAAATTGTTGGAATAGCGCTACAATAGGTTTCTAAGATATTTTATTACCAAAAGCAGTTCGTGCGAGTAGTAGTGATCGGCGTGCTCGCCCGTAATGTAAGAGGCCGTGAGAATGGCATTCAAAATGATCACCTAATCAACATGGTAGATTCTGATCAATAAAAGAAATCGTAGAAAATGAGGTTCCCTTGAGAGTGGCTCGGGGGTGTATTTTCCACATTACTTTTACCTGTCTACTTGAATTCTTAATTAGTAAGGCTCGTAATTAATGTCTTACACATTATAAAGCCTTTACTCACGACTGTCCTCAAAGATGAAAACTAGGTGAGCAACAGAAAAATTATTCACTTACAGCGGAAGATTTGCGTCGCGAGGCAGCTAAAAATTAACAAAGAGAATTAGTTGGATAATTACATCAGCAAAAAGGGGACAGGAGGGTTAGTGGGTAAGGAATAAGTAAAACCAAACAAAGGTCACAGCAAAACAAAAATGCAGTAAAAATAACTAAGAAATCAACCACATAACTGCACGAGAGGGAAATGGAGAACCCATTGGTAAATATCTGGTGTGTGTGTGTGGGTGAGTAGACAATGAAGGATATATTAACATGCACATGGCAAAAGTATACATACATGCCACCATTGCCCCAGACTTGCAATAGAAATAACCACAACTGAATTGCAATGACTACACTGCATACATAGTTATGAGTGTGTGTGTGTGTGAGCTTACCAATAGATAGAGCAATTTGATTTCCTATAAAAGGCCAATTCATCAGTTCAGCGAGAAAGCTCTCTCATATAAACTGTCCGAATGAAGGGGGGATGGTGTTCAAAAAATAATAGTAATACTAGTTCCTATTTCGGTATATTCTGATATGGAGTCATAATAATCACGTATACAGTAGAATCTCAAACAAACTAGCGCAGAATGGTAGTGCCAGACAACACACATTAGAGGTTAAGAGAAAAGCGAACGACAGAATGAATAAGCGAAAGAAAGAGATGGTGCTGCCGGAAGAACTTACCCAAATAATCGTCTGCGAAAGCAAATTTCAAAGTAGTCAAAATTATCTCTATTATGATAGAATATGACAAATTATTGCACACATAATGACTCAACCGACTTTATCTCTACACTTCCTACAGTTATGAAAGCATTCCGTACTACTTTAAAGAATTGCTCGACTATTCCGGAAGTGAATAAGGAGAAGGGGGGGGGGTTTAAGTAGTCAAAGTCATTAATAATGAAAACTCACCCAATTTGACTGCTCTAATCTCATTACCGGAAAGAAGATTAGCTAGTAGACAGTTAGTCTCATAAGGGCTCATATAAAAGAGAGCAAGAAGAGCGTCTTCCACAGAACTCTCCATAGAACGAGCGAGCTCTGTACCCATCAATTTGATAATTAAACCAGTTCTAAGCCGAAGTACATTGGCGAGGAGCTTGGGGTGAGAGCGCGCAAACATTGAGAGGTGAAGGAGAATCTCCTGAAATAATAAAATAATCGAGTTTCTCATTTTGATAAAGGTGATTATATATACTACTGAAGTCCTCCTATACCTGTGTAAGCATTGCCATGAGATTATCCTCTCCACAAGCTTCTTGAATTAGTTGAGCAATTTTATCTGCTGGTAGAGGAGAATTAATAACTTTTTCTCTTGGTTTTGGAGGCAATCCAACGGTTATTTGTTTTTGAAGAATAAGGATACTTGACACAGCAGTAGCCAACTGATCTGCAATCTTCTCTAACAAGCCACCGACATATCGAAGAAGGAACCAGTCTTGACATTGACAGGCCTTCTGATAGACCTCCTTGAGTAAGCTACGAATAGTGGCGGGTGTATCAGGATCCAACCCAGTGTCCCAATCGAGTCCCTTCATTTGTCTCAATCGACCCAGAATCTCAGCCTGCTTGGCGAGGTTACCAGTCTGTTGGAGACACTCAACCAATTGTTCAGGACTCAAATTTGCTAGCCATTCTGCATTAGTGTCTACAGTATTTGCTGCACCACCGGTAATATTCATAGACCCACCGCTTTGAGAGCTTCGTTCACTTGAGGACTTACGAACCCCTGAGGCCCATGCAGACGAACGGAAATTTGTAGGGCGTTGAGGATCTCCCCCGGAAACAGTAATACTATCGCCTGTGGCACTGTCCTTCGGTACCATGATGATACGTCGGAAAGAGGTCTCGTAACTATTGTCTGAAGAGTTGGGAATCTCACCGACACGTAAACGTTGAAGAGTCGTCTCATCTAAAATAAATAAAGTAGGAAATCAATTATCTATATCTATCATTTGTGTTTGGTCATTTAAACTATAAATGGGAATTTATTTTTGCCAGTTAAGAACCCAACATCAAATACACAAATTCAGCTTCAAATCTTAATTCCTTACAACCTTACTGCTTTCTGGCTTTTATCGCACCTTTCCCACTTTACAGTTGATCACCAAATCGCATGTATAAATTTTTGCATACCAGAATAGACACATCTAGTCTCTTTCTCGATTTCTTCTTTGAACAGTTACACCTTAGTTATTGTAGGCTTTAGTCTCGATATTTGTATGATCGTGGACGTTGGTCGAATACAATTTGAAATCTTTACCAACGAAGCTGCTGAGTCTATTAAGATAAAGTTACTAACAAGCTTATAAAAAAGTTGAATAACAATCTACCTATAAAGTCAATTCCTTTAACTTGAGGAAAATGCTTTCTTAAGATGGAATTGAGAAAATTTGTAGAATGGTAGGGTAAATGCAAACAAGCATCAGCCTACATTTAGTCCAATTCTTACCTGTTCGCCCACAAATCCAACCTCCAATCAAGTACAACACTCTCGAATATAACCCCAAGGATACCAATCCTAATAGAAGCCATACAGAAAGTTACTTTAAAAATGTAATCTTCCTAATTCACCACCTTCTATTCCTAGTATTTTCAAAGCGACGCATCTTCCAGTGCAAAAAATAAAACAGATTTTAGCATAATGAGTACTTAATTACTTACCATCGGCTGTGGTGAGGTCAGTTGAAGCTGCATAGTTTTCACCTATTCCAGTAAGGTTGCCTTTCTCGTCCAAACCGATCTCTTCTTCAAGAAAGAAGTAAAGCACGTCATTAGAATGCGTTCGCTAAAGCAAACTAAGTGAATTTCAAGCATATAATTCGTTCCTTGACCAAGAGGATCAAATCAGTGAGACTATTAAATAACTATCCACTGATATGTCTCTAGAACTAAGATTTAGTTTACAACGATGAAGAGGGAGTAGGAAATGCAGAACATATAGACATAGTAGAAAATTAGGTAAAGACGAACAGAATCTGCAACGAGCTTTTACAAAAACAATAGATCGAATCAAACGAGCACTGGGCATGGGGAACACAGAACAAAGCTAAACGAAGCGTGCAAAATGAGACGAGGCATGCAAGCAAGGAATCAGAAGTAAACAAACTAGGTAGTTGATAATTCGTTTTGAACAAAATATCCCACGAGAGAGATTTGTTACACTGGTGAGGCAGCGAATTGAGGGAACTACTACAAGAAGGACAGAGGGAAATTCCATCCAAGGAGGGGCCAAGTGTGTCACTTAGGCTCGACTCATTCGACGCATAGAGAGTTGTGGAAGCTGAAGAAGACGACCCTGAAGACTGTGGAGTAAGACTGCGCGTCAGATTCTCTGAAACGGATCTCGATCGGTGGGTGTGCTGCTTCCCACGGAAGGAGGCAGACCATGGAGAGAGCTGATAAAATTGAAGGCGTTGTTGGGGATTTCCACTCTGTTCATCGTCAGAAAGAACCACTGAAGACCCCGAAGGGTTTGGATAAGCATGAGAATGATGGTGGTCCTGAGGAGGATCTAGTTTGAGACGGGAAGGGGAGTGCGATTCCCATGCGAGCAAAATAATACTGATAGATAGCAAGCATGCAACAACATGGAAGAAACAACTCGTTGTGCCGGCAGATGTTGGCCTCTGCAGTATTGACTATTTGATCTGGACTTATTTCAAAGGGTGAGTCTTACTAATCAAGGGATCAAGGGGGTTCCCATAACTACCCACAAGGAGGTTAGCACTAATTCCACAGTAATAAAATTCAAATATTTGCGAAATCTACTCAGCATAAAGGTTACAAGTCTGCCTTATGCCAACAAGCCGTTCTAAATAAAGAAAATTGGAGCAATGCATATACGATCTAGTTTTAAAACTAGTTCCAGTGTAATTAAAACTGATCCGCTTTAAGGATGAAATAAATCAATAGTTTCGAAAATAGACATCGTTCAAAATATTGGCCAAAAGTGAAAATAAATTGATACTACCTGGAGATCATCATGAAAGAACTTGGAATCAAAGGGACAAAACTAAACCTTCTAAAATAGTAGCTTATAAAAGTAATATCAATTGCCAGTTCATATTTTCTTTAGAGTTCTAAAATAACTTTCCCTTAACAAGCAACCACAGATAGGTGAAATATCTGACCGAAACCCGTATTTAATGAAAGAGCACTCAGGTATACATAAAAAAATAGATCAAGCTTTCCAAAATAAATTATAAAACAACGGGATTCTTTGTACTACTAGGGGATATAGTTCAGCTTCTAAGATATGTCTGCTGACTAGATATCGCTAGGATACAGCTTCAAAGTCGCTTTACTGTTTCGTCAAATAGAACGAACGACTGTAAGGCAGGGTCGTTGATCTACATAAATATGGAGCAAGGCTTACCTTTAAGCAATTACGAAAACTCTGTGAGTTACGGCTTTGCAGACTTATTAGGCTATAAACTGTGGGGACCACATACATCTATCATTCACGATTTTTTAATGAGGAAGGCAAGATCGTTTTCGGCTTCCCATCAAATTGCGATATTTTCCATTTTGGGCATAATGTTTGGGAGCTTATTAGAAGAAATAAGGGCTCCTTCTTTAAAAATTGAGGTTAAAAATGTTTTAGCTACTGTGTAACCAAATTCTGCTCAATCCACGGACGAGCTTGCCTCACATTGGGTAAATTTCTATTGCAACTCCTGTTGAGGCGGCCAATGATGGTACGAAGTTCCACCCATAAGATTGTAAAAGTGACGAAATTCAGGCGCTTTATGGAGCCTTTAATGGCAAAAATCGTTCCAACGCGACATTTAATCGGGTATAAGGAACAACAAATCATGACATTCTAAATGCTTAACCACTAGATAAGTTCAGCATGCAGTCTAGAAGAAGGTTGTCGAAAATTCAATACCTCTAAAGCTACTAAATCTTCCACCAAGATGGAATTTCCAAAATTCCCCTGGACAGCGTAACTGCATTTGAGCTAAGCCTTAACTTAATGAAAATTACTGAAAATATGAAAAGGACAAGGGAGGAAAGAGTAGAATAGACTTAATTCTTTGTAGTCTGGAAAATGAATGATGCCTCGTGGCTCAAATCTGGGTACGGCATAGAAAAAACGTCATTCCCGGTACACAGTCTTAGCACATAAATCGAAAACGAATCAAACAGAAATACTTCTGCCCTCTGCCCTCGAAACCTTAAACTCTGGAGATCATGTTACTTCTGATTCTTCAGAAGACCTAGAAAACGATTCAAGGTGAACGAAGTGTCAAAACGTATGGATAAACAACTTTGTCCGGATGTAATGGGTGCAAATGAATAATGTTTCATTCCCAAAAAGCAAATTTATAATCCACCGTTAATTGCTCATAAGATTTGCGTATTTATTGAAAATACATTAAACTACATAATTTTAAATAAAGTGCAGTACGAAGGGAATTACGCATTATAGAGTTAAGTCTTTTATAAGATATTTTTGGAGGCAAAACAGGTTACAGGCGAATATAATCAATGACCCCGATAAAGATGGGGACTTATTAAGACTAAAAGTTCAGGTACTCGAATCATAACGTACTTATATCTTAAATTGACAAAGAACAAACCGCACGCATAGCCCATCTTTCAAAACCACATCGATTGTGAGGCTTAATGCCGACGCTATATACTATTCACATTAGATATTAAGCATTCAAAGAAACAATATGCCCACATACGCGAATCCTCATCGTGATCCTGTAGATCGACAGAGACAGCACAAGCCAAAGCGAGAGACTTGCGTCGAAGGCTGGTGCGTTGGACACCTTCATGTTCATCGCGGAAACGACTATCACTGGGCAGATGGGCTCCACTAGATTGAGCCAAACCACTAGTTGGAGTGGAAGCAAGACTGGAGTAGCTTGACTGCTGATCACCACTACCACCCAAGTAAATGGGTGAGCCGAACTCAACTCCACGGGGATGGGGAGAGGCCAGAGTCAAGCGGCGCAAGGTTTGGCGACCTGTGCGCAGTACTGAATGGCGCTTCATCACAGTTTCTAAAAGAAGAGATTTTGTAATAAAGACCAAATATATATATATATATGATGGAATTATGCCTCACTTAAGGATAAATAAAGCGTTTTAGAAAGGGGTAAAAATGGATTTACCTGCCGACTTGATGAAACTTAGTTTTTGGACGCACGATGTGGCTTCAAATTGGGACATATTGCCCAGAACGACACTAAGAAAAAGGTACTCGTTAGAAAACATTTGAATAATTGAAACAGAAATTTAACAGTCACACAAAAATTTGAAATGTCACAATAGTAACGTGGGGTGTGCAATAGACCTACCTCCACATGGTGAACCCTGGGCAACGTATACTCATATGTCAAAGAAGTCTATAAACAGGCAGTTGACTTCTGACTCCAAACTACACGGACACTTCCATCACTTCCACAATGCTCACCTTACCCTTTTCTCTACCTTTATGTCTGTCCCTTTTACATCTGTGAATCCCTCTTCTGTTCTTCCCCCCTCTCGAATTTTGTGACTTTTATGTGACCCCACTCTGGGGAGCCCAAAGTCAACTAAAGGGCTCATGATAATTATCAAAAGCCTGCTATTTGATATAAATAAATATTAGTAGGATTTTAGCCATAACTATAATCCCTTCGCCATCGTAATAAAGCGTTTAGTTACATTAAATTGTTCAATTAAGACGTTAAAATGACTTAAACATTAATTCAAGCCTGAAATTTATCAATTAGAAAATAGGAAACATGTGTTCAAGGGCTCGAGTTCTTTACAACTTCCTGGTAAAATTTAGTTTTCCACCAAATGACTAATAATCATTTCTCACCTAGTGATTTGATATAAAAAAATACATTCAGTAAAGTCACTGCAGAATTGTCAATTGTTATTTTATATGCTAATAACGGTTCTATATTAGTTATAATTAAATTACATTATGCTGCTATTAAATATCATAGATTTTGTTAATTAATAATTCGCATTTATAAATGCTCACATTGTTTTTGTTCCTCACATTTAGCTTAACTTAAAAAAGACAAATTCATTCTTTATATCCTATTATAATTATTTAGGGTCTTTAAAATGGGAAAAAAGATAAACCCCTGTCTATGGCAACATTTTAGAGAAGATAAGATTAAATAGTGACAATTGTCATCACATACTCACCGAGTACCATTGATATAACCACTCTTCAATTTCTTGATGACCGTCACCATTGAGGGAAGGAAGGCCTCGTGTTCTAAGGAGGGCCCAAATAAAATTAATAAATGCTACTAGATAATAAATAAGTAGAAAAGTGTATATATCTAATAAGAATATGCGCACACGTGAGCTAATGCGCTTAAAACTGATTGGTCCATTAGAGCGAACGTGACCACCTATTCGCTATGTGTGACATTGGGCTTTGGAATGTGCAGAGGGTATAAGCACACTGCATGTCTGCAAAACATAAGCTATAAACTGCAGCAGGAAAGAGGCATTCAAATGCAATGAAACAAAAAATTTTCAACACGGTTTAAATAAAACATTTTTCCACATACTACGAAATTAGAAAGGAAGCAAAAATATACATATATATATCTTCCTGATATAGAAATTTAGGAAAAAAAGTAACTTCTGGCCAACTCAGATTTAAAAATTTGGCCCCGCTTTACTGACACCTGCAACTTGCACGACCATTAAGATAATAGAGTGCTACTGGGGTTTAGGCGGACCTTTGAATCTTGGTCATAATACTATTGGGTGGGCAACTAAGTCATTGCCGTATTGTTGACAGATTCGCTCTATACTTTCTTTTGTTTTGTTAACGTGGCCAGAGCATCTAACCTATATTTTTTTCTTACTGTATGGGCTTCTAGGTTAATTAGTAGAAAGTTTTCTTTGTTTAGTTCTTTAGTTTTGTTTTCATCCCAATTTAAAAATGAAAGAACAGGACGTGTACTTCCCACACATTTTATTGTATTACTTCCGAAAAGGCAAGAACGCATCGCAAACACAAAAGAAATTATGTGCCGTATATGGAGATGAAGCCTTAAAAGAAAGCCAGTGTCGAAATTGGTTTGACAGATTTCGTTCCGGTGATTTTTCACTGAAAAATTCACAACGATCTGGCCGCCCAGTCGAAGTGGATGAAACCCATATCAAGGCCATTATCGATTCAAATCGTAACAGCACAGCACAACACGAGATATTGCAGAGAAGCTCAATGTGTCGCATACATGCATTGAAAAAAAATGAAAAAACCTTGGTTATGTCAAGAAACTTGATTTATGGATCCCTCACCAGTTAAAGGAAATTCATTTGACGCAACGGATTAGCATCTGTGATTCGCCGCTACTGAAACGCAATGAGAATGATCCATTTCCGAGGAAGAACCTAGTTACTGGCGACGAAAAGTGGGTAGTTTATAACAATGTTACTCGCAAGAGACCATGGGTGAAGCAAGATCAACCAGCCCAAACAGTATCAAAAGCAGAGATTCACCAAAAAAAGATTATGCTGTCAGTCTGGTGGGGGGATCACAAAGGAATTTTGTATTTTGAAGTCATGCCGCAGAACCAAACGATAAATTCAAATGTGTATGTTGAAGAACTCGAAAAATTGAAGGATGCAATTGAAGATAAGCGGCCGGCATTATCAAATCGGCGGAAGGGTGTTGTTTTCCATCATGATAACGCAAGGCCCCCGCACACACCTTTGGTTACTCGGCAAAAATTATTGGAACTGGGTTGGGATGTTTTGTCACACCCACCATATAGCCCTCACCTTGCGCCTTCGGATTACCATTTGTTTCGTTCCATGCAAAACTCTTTAAATGGTAAAATTTTTAACAACGCGGATGATGTCGGATCACACCTAATTCAGTTTTTTAATAGCAAAGACCAGACATTTTACGAACGGGGAATTTTTACTCTGCCAGAGCGATGGAAAAAGGTCATCGACAAGAACAGCCAATATCTAATTGAATAAAGTTATATTTTTAAACAAAAATTCCGAATTTGCCTTCTTATTTGAAATCGGCAATGACTTAGTTGCCAACCTAATACATTACTTGTACACTTCACCGTAGTTAGAACATGCTTGTCTCCTAAACAATCGAAAAAGCGCAAAATGCATGATGATATTAGTAGATAAGGGTAACGATTGTGTACCCCCAATCAGTACGGATCACACCAATTCAGCAAAATTGTACAGTTATCAGAAATGAAAGCTGTCATTAGTTTAATAACCATTCTGAAACTGTAAAATAAAGAAATTGTAAATCAGAAAGACTCCATTGAATACTTCAAATACAAGCACTCAATGAGTTTCATAAAGTGATAGCAGTTTAGATAAGTTTGCGATAATCTAAGAGGTTTGGAAAGACATCACTATTTGTAAATTTTGTCAACTGTAAAAGAATAGTATAGTAGAGAAGCGAATTACGGGAAAAAACCGAATTCACTGGATTGTATTGTAGCAAAAACGCAAATCTGAAATAAGGCTACATGAAAGATTCGTGATTTAATCAAAATGATGTTTCTCTAAATGGCAACTAAGTTCAAATAAAGCAAAACCATCATTGATATTATAAATAACTCATTAACATTTGAGATTTTCTAGTTATAAATAAATAAAATTCTAATTTGAAACCACCTGAGCATTTTAAAAAGTCAATTCAATTGCTTACACTAACGAAAACAGCTAATACAAAGACCACCACGTTAATAGTTAAAACAACAAGATACCTTCTTCTAAATATAGAGATTTAAATGCACACAGACCAGCTTTACTCACCAGAACGAACAAATCTCTCAGCCACTGGAAGAACGAGAGTAGGTCGACCAGGAAAAGCCCACACGCGTCGAAGGAAAGCCACATTCGCACGAAACTCATCGAGAATGAAGTTAACATCCAAGTTCACGTAGAACGAGTGACTATCAATGAACTATTTAATGGAAAAATGAAAGTATCGAATTTTAAAACACAGGAGAAATGCGTCTTACAAGCACACACACATGAATGGTTACGTATACGGATTAAAAGCAGTGAAAGAAGCCACATGTTGTGCGAACTCTTATTTCAAAAAGTAGAAACTCTTCCGGGAAATATTTTTTCCGTTTGGCTTCTAATAAAAGAACATCACGCATAGTACTCGCCTATTGTTATAGTTCACTAAGACGCAATTTTTGCAATCAGAAAGTACTACCTCACCTCAACTCCCTAAAAGTAGGAGTAGAGTTTTACCATTCTCGGTAAAATGATAGGAGAGTGAAGACCAGTGAAGTTGTGATGCTTCGATATGAAACGTCGATTCCATTAATATAGTACCTTTTATAAAGAGCAAAGTGGGTAGAATTTATGAATAGTGTAAAATGAATCCTTTAGGAACAAAAAAATTATTACATAGAGAGCACTTACAAATGTATGAACAGTAAGTAAAAGATAAAATTAACGCACTTCTACGCATTCAAATCAAAAACCTACAAACACTAATATTATTGAGATATGTCTATAGGTCACCAAGGTGGATAGGACAATCGCCACTGCTATAAATGCATCTTAGAGGACTCAAAATTCTCCTGTAAATGCCATAAACATGAAAGAAACTGCTTCCGAAATAGTGTGCTGGCTAACATTGGGGAGGAGAGAGTGAAAAGCACTAAGTTGTTAAATTGGTAAGCGATGACGTTAAGAGCGTGTGCGCTTCAGGCGTTTTGGCATTGGGAAGCACTGTTAGAAGGCAATAAAAGCAATTTTTTGGGGAAAAGAGGTGGCTTACTTGGATCAAAATTCGGATCGCTAGCAATTAATAAAAAATGTTAAACAAGAATTGGAGAGGGAAACAAAAAAGGTCACATATTTACCTGTGGTGTGAAGGCCATCGTTGTATTACCGATTCTGTAGAGTGAGCTTGTAGCTATGACACCAATATCCCTAGCTATTCGTCCGGTTAATCCAAGATTTGCGCAAACACCTGAACAAAAAACATTGAAACTTGAATGTCATGGTGGGGGAATTTTCTCTTTACTAAATGCTTTAGAAATAAATAGATAACAAAGGATTCACAATATTAACCTTAGTACCACATTAATTATTTTTAGGTGAAGAATAATAAATGACAAGGTCAAAAAGCCATCAACATATAGGTGAATCATACCAAGCTGGTTGTAGATCTGAAGAAGCACTTTGGCTGGATAGACCTGAATACCGGAATCACAGACTACTTCCGAGGGAGTTTGTGCATCCAATTTGTATTCCGCCAGACGATCCTTAACCAAATCGTCCTCTGCTAGCACCACAACCTGTACGACAAGATCTGGTTTCGGCTCTGCAGCCTATATGATGAAAATAGGTTTACAACTTAACAATCTATTAATTTATTTACTTATTTCGGTTAGACTAATTAATAACCATATTTCAATCAAAGAACTTCCAATACGATCTTTATAAACAAAATAACTAATTCCTAAAAGTACACATTCACCTTTGACACCCATCTTACGAGAAGACAATTTTGTCCCAGTATGAACTAGCAGATGAGAACACAAACTTCTCACATTTTTTGCTAATAGCTTATCTTTAGTGATGTAAAAATGATCAGTGGAGATGCGGAGACTACTGGAAATCTACGAAATTAAATGCAGACACATCTATGATTTCACACATCAGAGTAAATTGAGAGAGAGAGAGAGTAGCCGATTTGATCTATCTGCAGCGAAATTTGTAAAAAAGGTTTTGAAGTCGACAACCAATATTAGAAAAGTTGAGCTAACCATACGACGACCAAGAGGATCAATCTCCCCAGGCAATAGAAGTCTGTCCATGATGAGACGAGAGAGGATATACATTGACTGACCCCAAAGATGTGGTACTGATCCAATAGGTACGCGGACCTGTGAATTATGAGCCTTGATTTCCGCATCAATTTTGTCGGCAGGCAGGGAATAGAGCTCCGGCATTATGGGGTAAAGGGAATCGTCTAAATCGCTGGCTGGCTTCTTGCAGGCTATTGGATTCACTGGATCATCACATCTTTCACGGGGGATTTTCTACAAAAAATGAAATGTAAAAGAAAGTACAGCGCGTTCATTTGTTTGTCATATTCATCATATGCTAAAATATGCATCTACTTTGCTCTCATACGATAACGTTCTCCAAATTATTTGATAAACGGTAGATGTACTCATTCAGCCGTAGAAGCCCACAAGTACAATAAGGTGATATTCAACCCTTGGCGATTTTTTTACTGTTGTTTTATTAGCACCGTGACTTATTTGAAAATTACTTTCGGCAAGATGATTTGTGGGAAAATTAAAATTAGGGTAAGCAGAGAGTAAAATACTATATACACAGAGGCTGGATTTCATCAGTAAAAAAATGAGTCCAAATTGAGCACATTTAATTCCATAAAAAGGACTCAACCACAAGTTACCAGTAGATTGAAAAATCAACCCTACTTATCTAAACTGAGGTTATTGTGAAATTATGATATATCTGTGCAATAAACACCACTATTTGGCCTCTTGAATCCGACTGTTTACCCGATAGTCAACGAGGCCCAAAACGTTTGCTTGCCAAATACTCGCTGTTAGTAAGGGATGAAATTGTGTAGATTATAAACTTTTACCTGACGATGGATTTTTCCTCTCTAGTAGATGTTGAGATTACGATGACTTGGACAATTCAATAATTAAAAGAGGATGAAAAAGAGTTTACAGATTTTAATAGGGTCTACTAATCTAGTATACTTATTATTACTTACATGAATGAGTCTTGGATAAAGGATAATGTATTCAAGAGAAAAATGTGCCAACAACATAGTTTCGAATAATTAAGAAGCAGTGAACACAAACAAAACGCGAAAGCAGCATCATTAAAGATACCACTAGGACTTGACAAAGATTTGCATTAAGAGATTTTGGTATAGAAATTAGAATCAAAGAGCAACTCATGAATAGGAACCAATTTTGCAGGCAATCATAAATTAAAGTATACTTTCTTTCTCAAAGATAGGCCAGACCTCATGATAACTAAAAATATGTGAAATCTATGAGACAAAGTGTATTAAATAACATTAGGTGAAGAGTGGATTAATCCAAAAAGCCTAAAATGGAAACTATTTTCTCCTACAAATTTCGACAAACAGACTGCAATAACTTGAGAACCTAGTTTTCCGAATGTGGTCCACCAAGGGAATTATAAATAGTACATACTTGCAACAGAGTTAAGAAGATAACTAAAACTACAGCAACATAAATTCCTATTTCATCACAATCTTTTCCGAAGATTAGGCAATAACCTTTATTATAATATATGCAAGTAACACACCTTTCGAAGAACAATCTGTTCCAATTGATCCATGTACTTTTTGGCCAACTCAAAGTTGTCATCAAAGCAGGCACCAATGACAAGATAGGTGAAGAAGAGAGGCCACTGGCATTCAATACCATCGAACATTCTCAACTCCCAGGGCTCATAGTGCAAACGATTCGAATCCTCCCTGGCAGTCTTATAGCCATCTCGTAGGAAACGAATGCAACCATAGCTAAAAAAAAGAATAAAATTTAAACAGGAAGCTATAAAAACCTTCCGAGCAGTTTTGAGAGGATGGTATTGCGAGTTCGTTCAATGAGTGCTTCATCAGCGACTGCGAAACCGGGGTAACTAATGATACCCAAAAGCGCTGCGTCTGTTTCCTTAGAATACGATTCTCTTGGTAACATGTTCTCTAAAACTGTGTTACATTTTTGGCATTCGTCCATAAGGCAATGAATGGTTGAGTTTGCTCCACCTTGAGGGCCGAACAGATCCAAGCCGTTCAATGATTCCAGAGCAGCCTGGATAAATTTAGTCATCAAAAAGAGCACAATATAATACCTTTGCAAGACCGACAGAGCTAGTGTTAAGCTCAGGTAATCCGAGATTTGTCTTATCACCGCGTTCCCAAATGCCATAGTCAGGAATCCGAGATGCTGGCTCGATATAAAATACAAGATTTTGGATAAAAGCAACTTCGTCAACTGTCCAGATGATGCGTAGGCCAGATGCGGTCATTTGAGCAAGAGCGAGAAGGTAGAGAGAAACTGCATCGATTTGGAGATGACCCCATTCGAAATCCCCAACCACTGCTCTGCATGTTCGAGAGTCAAATTTGGCATGTAAAGAAGATCCATGAAATTGCGTCTTCTTAAAGCTTTCTACTTTGTCTGCTTGAGACATGTAGCATTTTAGTATTCCTCGCATAAGGTTTACAACACACTAAACATAAAATCTAACTCAGTGAAAAAATACCTTTTCTAATTCATATCCACGGGATCTGTCTTCATCAACGTCGGGAACTTTCCGATAGGCCATAGAAAGTCCCCATATTGAAAAAGATACGTACACATTATCTCTTATCCAAGCATGTGAATTTGATGGGGAAGCAGGTATAAGACCGGTGACAACATCCTAAAACTCGTAACTCTAAGACAATAGAAACTCACTTGCAGTGAAAGAATAGTTTTATTAATAAGCCTGTAATAATAATCTAACCCCGATTTATCAATCCCCATCGTTGTAGACAATGAGGCTAATTAACTGAAAGTGTTAAGTAAGCCAATACAACACATTATCAAAATCATCAGGCTATATATACTTGCCGAAAGAATAAATTCTCCAAGAAAATTTAATAAAACCATCACTTATGACTAATTATTAGGAGAAGAAAATTAAATTGACTTTAGAAATACTGTGTCGCATATACTAGGCAAGGATAAGCAAGTTAGAAATTTATTTTCTAATTTTAACCTAGTTTCTTTCGATATTTTACCATTCGTATCAAGAAGAATTTATAAAAAACATTGGACTTTAAGCACGAGTCTATCCACCATTCAGTGTTTATCGTTGCTTAGATTGGCTTTGTTCCTGAAGGGCCAAAAGGGACGTTGAATGTGATTTACACGGCAGAGTGATTATTTGGATAACTTTCGTTTTGCTTAAATTAACTGAGTCACAGTCAAACTTTTGGCTTTTTTACTTGTTTTTTATTCTCCGTCAGAATCTTCGGGTACTAAGAGAAATTGATATATTATACAGTCATTTCCATTTGATTATTTTTCAGATATTAGCATATAATGTTCAGTCATTGTTTTACATAAATGCTAACCCGTTTGTACAATTAGAGATTTGTTTCGACGTTAATTAATATTAGTTGATATAAATGGTAATTAAAATGATACTTTTTTGGTAGTGGCAGTCCAGTAGAACTAGCATATGATTTCCAACTGTCTATTCACCAGACAATGTATCTAAACTGCAAATCTCAAATACTGGTACTGAAAAGGGGGAAAAAAGGAATGATTTAGTGCATATCAATGGGAACCGATATATGCTCGTAGTAAATTAAAGAAGAAACCACGCGTATAAGTGGATATAATGCCGTGAGTAATTAAAGTACGTGGTGACTGTTTATGTAGGATGATTTTATAATGTTCCAGTGGCCCTTTATTGAGATTAATACAATTCAGACTCAAAGAAGAGAGAGCGAAATGTTCCTCGGTACAGATTAATATTTCAGCTAGCAAAATAAACTTATAGTTACACAGACTTAACTGAATGATTATTGACTGCATCCCCACCCCTCCTCCTTAGATGTTCAATAATATCGTTACAGGTGGTCTTAGACATCTATTAATCGATTGTTAGTTGCAAGAGCTATCAAATGGGGAGTTTTTTTAAGTATTCTTCCTACGAAGTTCTTAGAACAATTATTGGAACTCAACAACTGTGACACCTTCTATACATTGTGAAAATTATCTATGAGCTGTCGTTGAACGGAGCGAGATGAGCTTTTTCAGCACCGACAGTCAACTTCAGGTGTTGGAAATTTTAACCATACTTAATCGAGAGGTGGAGAGTTAATTAAATCCTGATTAATTTAATGTTACGGAGGATGTAAATCTTATCAGATAAAGAGTTATTTATTTTGTTGGCTTTAACTTAAGTGCTCAACTGACTACTCAATTCCTGAAGCATCAAGCTTTATTATCTTTTCCAAAATGCATGACATCCGGTCATTCAACTTTTCTGAAATGTATTATTTATTTCAGATGGCAGGCGTTTTGATAGTCATCATTAGGCCTTTAGCCGACTTCGGGCTACACTGATAGGAGGATGGACATCAAAATGGGAAAATATCGAGAGAATTGACAGAAAAATGATTCACAGATGCGAAAGAGACAGAGGGACACAAAGGCAGGGAAAAGACAAGATGAGTACTGAGGAAGTAGTCGAATATGACATACAGAAGTCAGAAGTCAACTGCCGGTTAATAGACTTTTTGCCGTATGACTAAACGTTGACAGGGTGCACCATGTGGAGGTAAGTCTATCGCCCACCCTCTGGCATATATATATAATATTTTACTTGATGTTAAACCATTTCATTTTCGGGATATCGATATACAGGGGCATCTAATACTAGTTTGACTGCTTATTAAGTGCTTTCAATTTTAATCGATAAAAATTTGAATAATTTTAGAAACCCCATCACTTGCAAATGAATCAGATGTGCACATGGGGAGACAAAAAGCATCCAATCATCAACTCTACGTTGACCATTAAGGATATCAGATGAATTTGTAGGTGAAGTTTGTAATTTGATTAGAAAGTTGTATAACCGAGGGCTTGATTTCTTCCTATCGATGTTGTCCTAGCATTAATACTCATAAAAGATCAATAAGTTGGGTGCTGATTTGTTTTCTAGACCTACACTGGGCATTAATTACGCAAAACTCTTAATATTTTTGAAACTGAATTTATTTATTAATTTAAAAAGTAAAGACTTTCTATTAATATGTTACATTAGCTGGGCATATCTCATATTACAGGCACTTGATAATCGAATGACAACAATTTTGCTCCAATTGCAGTACAATAATTACTTTTGCGCAAAACACAGTAAGATATTATCTTGATATTTTAATTTAAAAATTATTTTAGATAGTTTTTACTAAAATATGTCATAGAATTTCTCTGTTTTTGTCGACTGATGCAGTTAAGGTGATTGGACATATTTAGCCTTTAACCTTTAGCTTTGGAGGGTTATATAATTATAGATAGTTTGGTGCCTGCCCTGTTTTATGTGCACTTATGCTTTATAAATTTCTTTATATAATGCATGTTTTGTTTTTTTAAATTTATAAAAATACGTTTTGTTTTTGGCAAATTTCCCTTTTATTTGCCTTCTTTTCATTTTTACATTAATTTTTTATTTAATGACAAGTTATATATTCCAGCTTTATAATTCTTTCTTTTTTAACCACCGTTTTTTTCTTTTCTTCACATACTGATCGAGGCTATTCGCACTGAATCCACATTAATATCTCAATTAGTTATCAATTTTTATTCTAGCATTTCAAATGGGTCAGCTTATATCGACAACTCCTGTCGGTAATTTGGCCTTAGTTATTCCTCAACGCTATCAAGCACAATTAACAGCTCTTTTACCTTCGTCCTGGCGTTCCAACAATGCAATTGAAAGTCTGTCTTTTATTTGTAAATTTATTTCATTGCATTCTTAGATCAATCCGAAGTACGCTTTGACCTACAAGATCTTCCACCCGAACTAGCCTTAACTATTCTCTCCTACTTAAACCCAACAGATCTTTATTTGGCATCAGGTGTTTGGTGGGATTTAGCCTCGAATGAAACTCTTTGGCGAGGGTATTCTTTAATGGATACCGTGAATTATATATTTCGATTTTGATTTATATTTTCTTATTGTCTTCGTTATAGATTGTGCCGAAACTACTGGCCTTTCTGCTCTGCCTACGAGAATTGGCACGAGAAGCCCGATTTCTCTTTTCGAATTCTTTTCTTGCGGTTGGATGAGGCTCGATTGACCTTTAATAGCGATGCTTTTGAGGGGATGCGGTACCTTCATGAAAATAAGCTGCTCAAAGATGACGTGCAGCATATTGCTCTCTATTTCCACGTCACACCTGGACTTAATCCAGATCAGAAACGACGATACCTCGAAGCAAAGCAAGTACTCAATGTGTTGTTTATTTCCAAGCCTTAACTATTTTTTGTGCGATTGCCATGGTAGCGTGGCATTATATTATAATGGTTTTGCCTTTTGTGCCGCATGTGTTCTGAAAGATCTGTACATTAGCTTTATTTTATTACTAACTTTCATATTGACTTTCTATTGGGATGTTATCGGTCACTAATCTTTATGCTACTTCCCTGATCGTTCTAAGAGAGACCATATGGTGTTTTTGAAAACATCCTTTATTTTAATTTAATTAGACCCTTTTTGTCTTCTATTTCAATGCTCATGGCTTTAATTTTTATTTTATAATATTGCCTCTTTAACACAACGTCTTGTTCTTGTATTATTCAGCGTTTTAATTGTTAGGAGTTTATTCTGTTTCGTCACATTCTGTTCCGTAATCGATTTTAACTATGTAGTTACATCGTAAGCCAAAATGTTACTTTAAATTATGCATAACGTCAGTTCTGAGGCAAAGAAACTATGTTTTACGTCTTCTTTTCACATCTTCGGTAGACAAATCTCATTTCTCGGCATTTCTTGACCAAATATAATGAGACTCCACTCTTTTCAACTATTAGCAGGAGTCTTTCATTATATATGCAAATCAAAAAGTAATAGAAGTTCTGGCTACTGAAAAATTTTATTGTGAAAATCAGCTAAATTAATTTTACATGTCGACGTGGAGGTGCACTCAGTGCCGATTGGTGAAATGCAAAATCCTTGCTATTAAATCCTGTTAGGAGTTGATAATCAAGTTTTTTTGCATCTTCGCCTTATTCTGCTTTATTCGCTCTTTTAATGTATTTAATAATCAACTCCCTAACATATATTGGAAAGCTCTTGTATTTCAGCGTTTATGTTGGTTGTAGAGAGGTAGCATTATGAAGTGTCGCGTTAATGAACTCAAATTCTGCCGCCCCATTTGTTGGGCAGAATTAACAGGTGAGGTTGTATATTTTGCTCACCGGGTTTGCCTCTACGATCAATGAAATCACCGAACATAGTCATGTTCATCGCTGCTCCACTTTGCGCACAGAATTTGTTTATTTTCAAAACGATTTTACACTTTAGTCTTCTCTCCCATGTGGAGGCTGACGTTGTGTGCCTATTTAAATTATTGGTTTGGGGATACGGGATGATGCCTCTGTTCGCTGTCTGTATTTTTGCAAGAAATTGTTGCAACTGTCTATGCGAAAATGACATTCAATATAAACCATGCAAAAAATTTAAGTGTTTGTTAATCTTTAAGTAATGTGGGTTATGCGTACCCTACAGGTCTCTCAAATAGCTAATCTCTAGGTTTAAAGATGTAATTATGTGATTTGCTGCGATCTTGCCCTCCATATTCATGGAGCTCATTTCTACTAATCGGCTACAACTAACCATGAATGGATTTTGATACACTTCTCTGGGGGGGGGGGGGGGGAGGTAAGAGAAGAGATGCGGTATAATCGCTTATTGTAATACACTAATTTTTTGGGCCTGATGTGGAGGTAATGCGGCTTCACGGTTTTCTTGTTCTATAACGGATGCATTACAGCTTATGGGAGTAGTTTTCAAGGTATTGGCTATCTTCGCCAATTGTTAATCAGTCTGTGTGTTTCCTGTCATTCGCCCTTTCATCCTTTTTCTATTTTGTTTTTGTTTGTAAGTAATGAGCGAAGGTACCTCACGGAGGCACTTGGTTTAGTGGTTAATATAAAGGCCATCTCATCCCTCACTAACATCTCACATCTCTTCTCCAAAATAAATATTTCTAATTGTCTTATGATCTACCTCGGCGCAAGCATATATTTCTTTGTTTATGGCTCAGAGTTGTTTGCCAAGGTTAAGAGCAAGACTCTATGATCAAGTGTACTATTAGTCCCTCGTGAATGTAATTTTGGAACTGGGAATATCCAAAAAAATTCACAATTTGTTCTGTGCATTTTATTGCCTATTTCATTAAATTAAATATTTCAAATTATGCTTGCACAGAAAGTATAAAGAGAAGTGGATTCGTGTTACTACTCATTTCAGAGTTAATTAATTGGAGGAGTTGGGTAACTCACCTCTCATTATCCTTCTCTATTTAGCATGCATGCGTGCTAGTTATAAGTGTTTGTCCTCAACTTGTCGAATAACGGAACTTATGGATATAGCACTTTATTGTGGTGGGAATTTCGTTGGGATTCATTATCATTAGGAACCTTGGGAAAGTGAAGGTCAACTGAAATGGGCTAATGCTCAACTCCAGTAAATAGCAAAGAGGAGGTCATTCAAGACTTTAGCAAAGGTTTACAGTATTTACCTAATCGGTGGTTCGCAATCATGATTCAGCACGTAGATTGCAGAAATCACAGTTGACTACTATGTCTAGTATTTAATAAGAAGTGATGGTGTTGATTTTTTTTATCTTTTCACACAGTTTGGAGATTCTGGATGCGCTGATGAGTCTGAAAAACTTCGGTGGCAAGTTTTTGCCCAACGCACTACGTGACCTCTGTGCAGAGTTGTTAAGTCCAATGGAAATTTCACAAAATTTTATTCCATACCTTCTTGAACGCTTCTCTGTGCAATTCGTTCACTGCAATGGGAATCTCGGCTTCCGTCCAGGCTAGTGAATTCTTTAAAATGAATTTTTTACTTTTACTAAAAGTGTATAAACTGAGCTGAGCATGTTTAGTTCATTTAGTGATGATTAGGAAACATTTGACACATCTTTACTCAAGTGAACCAAGCATCTTGCGGTCAAACTTCCTAACTTCTGTGATTAACAAATGATTTATCGATTGGAAAACGATGGGATATGATTTTTCCGTTGCTAGTTCTTCATATTCCTTTTATAGTGCTTCGAGAGGAGAAGGTGAATTCATTAGTTTTGATTCTGTTGGATTGGTGTATTAAGACGTAGTGGTATTTATTATTGATCATACAAAAGAACCGAGTTTATAGGAGGTTGTGTAGTGTGTTTGTGTGTGTGTGTGTTACACATTGTAAAGTTATTTTTCCGTTTTTGCCTTGCTTTTATTAGTTCGTACTAACTCTTCTGTCTAGATAAACTCCCAGGTATCTAATTGTATATGCTTGAAATGATAGCATCCAATAGGAAAAAATACCTATATGCCTTCCTCAACGTCTGGGAGTTTTAGTGTCGTTGATACCATTCATAGCTCATAAGGTTCAGTAATTCAAGGGGAAAATGGAGCACTGAGAATGGACTTAGTGACATGATGGAAAGTAAAATATTGACGCCTTTATAAGCTGCCAATGGACAAGCCAGACAAATCGTAGAATACGTGCCTATTTTTGAGGTTTTAATCTATGTACTTTAATTATCGCCACCCTACAAATAGTGATCTACAGAATGCTAGCCTACTTAAAGTTCATCACTTTCCTCCTCTTAAAATAAATGTTGAATGATGACTAGAAGCTGTAGGATTTTAAGTAGGTAATTGGGCAATAGGAGTGCGAATGTGCGTAACATGTTATGCTAGATCTAAAGAGATTTGTTATGAGATTTGTAAAAGTGGGGAGCTTAGTTTATTCACTGTTTCACCTTCATTTTCAGACGTGGTCTATGTGTTATGTATCTCGCTGCTAATGCTCTCAAAGGATTTTGCAAGTCCTCAGATTAAGAATAAGATGTCCAAACGTGAGTTCATTCGCAATACCCGACAAGCAGTTCCTTCAGCAAGTATTGATTTGCTGGGTCAGCTCTACGACAACGTGTACGTGGAGGGGGACATTGGCACTTGGGTCATAGTGAAGAGTAATCCCTCCGTATCTCCTCCGATACAGCGGAGAATCACTGATGTGCGGTCTACCCCGCGTCCCTATCGCATCATTGCTTCTTGATGATCTGTACATTTGCTCATTTGTCTTTCACTCACTCTTCGTCACTCACTAACGGCGACATTATTGTTTTACTTCATTATCGCAATGCTATTCATTTGCATATCAGTCTTTCGCACACTGAAATTTTCACTTATTATTACTATTTTGAACGTAATTTCAGAATTTTATTTATTTCTGTTATGCCGTCGCGTTCTTCCATTCAATTTTAATTTCTAAGGGTCAAAAGATGAACAGACTTACCCTGCTCGTGGTTTAGGCGATACCAATGCATTACATTTACTTTATTCGTATCAAATGGCAGGCTTTGATTGTCATCATGAGGCCCTTAGTTGACTTCGGACTTCACAGAGGGAGGAATATCAAAGTCATAAAATGTCAAGGGGTGGGGGGGGGGGAATAGAAGAGGGATTCACGGATGTAAAAGAG